TATATATATATATATATATATACATACACATACATACGTACATATACTTTTAAATGTTTTAATTTATTTTTATTTCAATTTCTTTTTTACATTCAATCTCATCCAATAGATAATATTTTCTATTCTTTTTTTAAAATAAATAAGTGTATATATATGTGTGTGTGTATATATATATATATACATACACATACATACGTACATATACTTTTAAATGTTTTAATTTATTTTTATTTCAATTTCTTTTTTACATTCAATCTCATCCAATAGATAATATTTTCTATTCTTTTTTAAATAAGTATATATGTGTGTATATATACATATACATACATATATTTTTAATTTTTTAATTTATTTTTATTTCAATTTCTTTTATACATTCAATCTCATGTTACTTAGGTTACAAAGTTAATATTCCAACATGTGTACATTTCTCATCAGTCTAGTTGACAATATTATAAAGTTATCTTCAATAGATAATAATCCATTTCTTTGTCCCATAAATGCTTTGCTTCTGTATTTTTCTCCTAATGTCCTTCCTCAGACTCTATTCCTTCACCTGCCCTCTTCCCACACTGTATCTGGTATTCACAATCATTTACTAAGTTTCTATAACCTTTAGTCATTTAGTTTCAGCCATAGAGTAGAGATATACAATGTTTCTCCTTCATAGCCTGGCTTGCTCCACTCAGCAATAAATCTTCCATATTCATCCATTTTCTTCAAAAGCCAGAGTCTTGTTTTTTTTGTATGGCTGAGTAGTAGTATTCCATAGAGTATATGTCCCATAATATTTTCTATTCTTATTTTATTATAGATTTATCTAGTCATTCCTCTATTTAATTGTCAATTCATATTTTTGATGCATTTCAAAGTAAGTTGTATACATCGATATACTTTCCCTGAAATACTTCAGTTTTCATAGCATTTAAAGATTTTTTTATAGTTCTTTTTTTTTTTAGGTAAAATTTATAGCCTATATAGTACACAATCTGAATTCTTCAAATAAGCCTGTATATATACAGTGATACCTGTAACCCAAACCCTTATCAAGATACAGAATGTTTCTATTTCAGTCTGCTTTTCTGCTGCTAATGATGGAATGCCAGACTGTGGAATAAAGAATATATTTAGCTCATAATTTTGGTGGTCCGAGGTCAAGGGGCCACATCTGGTAAGGGCCCCCTTATTGGTGGGGACTCTACAGAATTCCAAGATGGCACAGGGCATCACATGATGAGAAAGTGAGATCTTATGCCTGTGTCCATGTGTCTTCTCTCATCTCACTCGCTCTTCTTATACACTCACCAGTATTCAATCATGTAGGCTATATCCTGATACCTTATCTAATCCTAATAACCTCCCTAAAGTCCACCTCTTAATCACACAGTCAAATTATGTTTTCACCTTCTTTTATTTTTTTTTTTGAGAGAGATTTTTTTCTCTAGAGCATGTGTGCGCTCTGTAGAGAGAGACGAGAGAGATAGAGGGACAGAAAGTGAGAAATCACCCCCTGGGGGGATGGCCATGCCACAATCTCTTCTCCTCCATTCTCCTCTCGGGATTTTGGCCATGCATGCACACGCGCCCACTGTGAGTTTTAAGCTACTGGGTCCAGGACTCAAACCGCCGTCAACTATGTGGGAGTCCAGTGATATAATCACTACAGCATCTGCTGGTCTCACGTTTCCACTTTCTTAATACTGCCATGACCAAATTTTAATACATGAATTTTGGGGGAACACATTCAATCCATAGCAGTACCATGACCCTGAAAGTTCTCTCATACCCTTTCTCTGGGCATCTATCTAGAAGCAACCACTGTTCTAATTTTCTTTCTACCACAGATCCATTTTCCTGTTATGAAATGTTATCTAAATAGAACCCATTCAGTATGAAAACTTTTGTGTATAAGGCTTCTGTCACTTAGCATAATGTCTGATGAGACTCATCCAAACTTCTGTATACATTAGTAGCTCATTCCATCTTATTACTGGGTAATATTCCATTGTATGAATATACCGCAGTTTATACATTCATTTCCCTATTGGTGTACACCTAGGCTTCCAATTTTTAACTAGTCTGAATAAAGCTACTAAAAACAATGTTATACAAATCTTTTTATGGACTTATGCTTTCATTCCTCTTGGGTAAAAACCCAGGAGTAAAACTGCTGGCTCATGGGGTTGATGTGTGAATGTTTATTTTACACTATCAGCAGCAATGTAGGAAGTTCTGGTTGTTCCATATCTTCATGAACATTTGGTGTTATCAATTTGTCTAATTTTAGCTCTTCTAGTAGGTGTGAAGTGATTGAAGCTACAATTCTGGCAAATTTTCTGAACTAGAAAAAAATACATGTGTACAAGAATCAAGCGTGATGAGAATACTGGTTGAAGGAAATGTGGAGACGGGCACATGTGACATTAGAGAAGTTCACCTCACCCAGACTTGACCCATACAACCAATGGCTTGAGAGGAGAAGCAGTGGCTGAAAGAGGGTAAAACAAGCAACCAGGTATGTTCTTCAGTTTATAATTCTCTGAACTATATTATAATATTTAGTTATTTTGGGGGGGGTTTGCCATAGGGTATGTATGCTCACCAGGGAGATGGAGATAGAAACAGTGAGAGGTAAAGGGAGAAATCACCCCCCAGGGGGGATGGCCACTCCAAATTCTCTTCTCCATCATTTTCCTCTTGGGATCTTGGGCATTTTCAAGCCACCAGGTCCAGAACTCAAACAGGGTCAGCCATGTGGGAGTTCAGTGACATAACCACTATGCCATCTGCTGGTCCCATAATATTTAATTATTAAAAAACGGCAGCTTTCACTAACAGAGAAACAAGAATTCTGTTTCTCTACAGAGCTGGCCTGGTGTGGCCCATAGCATAGTCCCCAATTTGCCTCCCTATGTTCCAAGCCTCTTGAAGACCAACCTTACAGAGCTTGCCCAGCTTGCAAAGTGGGACAGACAGTTCCAATAGACCCTGTTCTGCTCTCCCATTTTTCAATATACTCTGGACCTGAGGGAAAGGAATTAACATTTTTTGAGCATCAACACTGTGTAAAGACCTTTCTGAGGCACTGGTGCATGTGCATTCTCTAATTCTCATGACAACATCCCTATAAAGTTGGATATTGATAGTGTGTCATGTTATAGATGTGAAGCTAAGACTCAGAGAGATACAGTAATTTATTGGAGGTCACACAGAGATAGAAGAACCAGGATTTGACTCTAAATCCTCTGTTTTTTGCACTCATCCTTACTAAGAACCCAGAAAGTGAATAACAGGGCGCTTAGTAGCTTACTGGGTGCCAATGACAGTAGGAGAAGGTGTTCCATGTCTCAGTCAGATTTATCCCTTCTTTTTTTTTTCTCTCCTTATCTTCTGCTTCCTAGTATGCTGGCATTGAAGGTAGGGCTGATTGATTTCACCCCTTAGCAGGATCAATCTTTCAGAAGATGCAGATGTACATGAGCTTTGGCCCTCCTCTCTGCAGCTGCAACTGTGTCGCTTGCAAGAAGAAATCATTAACCTGTCCCCTTCATTCTCTTTCCACCTCAACATCTTAGAGTGTCACTGGCCCCTCCCTGCTCCTGGGTCCTCTTCCTCCCTTCTGCCCACTGTGGGGAAGGAAGGTAATTGTGTTTATCATGTCTCCAGACCAAGTTACCTGTTCCTGAAATGCACTAGCTTGCTCCTCAAATCCCGCTGTTCGGAAATAATTGACAACGTCCATCACGGCCCAGTCTGCAGGATCGGGTGGTCTCCCGTTTTCCATGGAACTGCAAAATACAAATCCAGATGGTTGTCATGGCAGCACTTCCCTGAGGGTGGCCAGGTTCATAACTCAGTCTCCCACGGCAGGCCTGGGCCAGCTCACGGGGACCACGGCCCTTTCTTCACTTGAAGGTCCAGATCCCAGTTTACCTCCCACAGAACCAAAATCAATCTTGTGTTTTCTGATTCTTACTCTCACTGGTTTAGTCACTACATTCTTTATAAACTGTTTAATCTTTACTATACATTATTTCCTTATATACTATTCTTTTTTAATTCTGAGAGTTCTGAAGACGCACAGCATGGCATTCATACTCCTGAGTTAAGACCACCAGGACCTCTAATTCGAGACTCCCACATACCTCGTTCGTACCATCGCCCACCACCTTTCCCAGCCCCGTATCCACACATCTATGGAATAACCATTCTCCAGCAGACCATGCCCTTTCGCAGACCGGAGCCTTTGCACCTTCTGTCCTCGCCACGATGCCCCGACTTGTCTACGTGACAAGCCCTACCATTCCTGACAGCTCAAAAACCACCTCCTCGATGAAGCACATTTTAGCTCTGCCAGGAAGTGTTTTAGCTATAACTACCTTTGAGTTCTAGAATTCCTTTCAAACTCCCATTTTGGCACCTTGCGTTTTACTCTCCAGAGTGAGAGATGTGGCCTAGTGGTAAATGTGTCAGCCTGGACCACATCTTGTTTTATCATTCCCAGTGTCAAGCATTAGGAGCTTATTCATTATTGTCCAGATACATAATCAGGCAACAATCAAGCATTTGTGCAGAGGGTCCATGGCTAATCATTCTCTTTGGATTTCAAAGTGGAACAGAGAAAGATCAGCAATGAACTGCAGTTACTGAGACTCTGCCTCATTTCCATGATTCACTTTTCTATACCCCATCAAAGCTAATCTTCTGGTGTACATTGATCACATTGTTTCACTGCTTAAAATGTAGCACAGCAATAACACAAACTGGACCCACATGGAAAGATCCTGGGTTCGTGCCCCAGTACCTCCCTGATCATGCCAGGGGTATACATACCTATGTTTAAGGTCAGTTGAGCCTGGGTGTGGATAGTGGTTGGGGGTGCCTGTCTCTTTCTCTCATGAAAATAAATAAGCAAATAAAAATTTAAGGAATCCTTCAAAGGATTCCCAGTACTCTTAAGATAAATTCTTAATAACTTAACTTGGCCTAGAAAGTCCTTCAGGATAAAGCCCCTCCCACCTCTCCAGCTAGGAATACACTGGGGAGAAAAATAGACACAGTCCTTACTTTTACGGGCTATCAGTTCCACACACAGTGGACACTGATCAAAAGTCATCTACGTGAATATAGAGCTGCGAGTCGTGCTCAGTACTAGGAAGGACAGGTGCACTCTTACAGTTTACAGGCTGGTAAATGGTCAAATGTAAAGGGGATGATATGATTGTATTCACATTTTGAAAATGAGGGTACCGGAGAGGAGCCAGGGTATCACTGAAAGCCTACTGCAGTCATCCAAGCCAGAGAAAATGGAGGGCCAGACCCGAGTGGTCGCAATGAAAAATGAGAGAAGTGTGTGGGTTCACAGGATATTTAACAAGTAAAATCAGCATGACTTAGAGATGGACTAGACACAGAGAATGAGGAAGAGGGAAGTGTCACGGACCTGGATGGATGGCGGTAACTGCAGAGACATGGCACGCCCAGTGTAGTTGGACACACTGAATTTGGGGTCTTGTCTGTATCAAAGTGGACATTGGAAAGATGTGTATTACTTTAATAGAAATGAAATTGCCCAGATGTCAAGAAATTCCTGAAGGTTTTCGAACATCTAAAAGTCAAGGGCCTAGTTGCTTCACGCCCCAGAATAATGTTTTGCTCAGAGTATGAGCTAAAATGCTTGATTAAAAAAACAAACTTCTGTTCTAGTTAAAGAAAAGGGAGTCACTGAATAATGGCACATTTGATGGCTCATTCTCAATAGCACTTCATTTAAAGACATTGAGAGCCAGTGCTTACTAGTTAGAAGGGTTTTCCCTGTTCTTAGAGACTTCCCTTCCTACCACTTAACAAGCAATATAGGGTGAGAAAAAACCTATTTTTCAAACCAACTTTGTCGAATATTAACTCTGTATTTTAAAATCAATGCTAACTATTTTGAAAATACATTATCTGGCTCAGCTGCAGCAATGCAAGTGGGAGAGCTCTACTGCATGGTGGCTGAGGCTGTACCGGAAGGCACGGGGGGGAGGGGGGGGGAACCCTGTAATCCTAGTTAACTGGGATGCTAGGGCAGGAAGATCATAACATGGTGAGCCCTTGTCAAAAATCTCTCTCTCTCTCCCCTAAAAAAGAAGTATCCCTGTGCTGGGATTTTCCATCATTGCATTAACATGAGCTGACACTGAGGGACCTCTTCAAGGTGGCATTTTTCTTCTCTCTCTTGCTTAAGGTGAACTTGAAGAATGTTTGGTAGAGCTTGCTAAGGATTTTCCTGTTTTAGCAAATCTTTCAAGTTTTCTAATCAGTTCACTTCCAGCACTGAGCAGAGAGTCCCACTGGATACACTTTTAAGTGTGCTGGAAAACATCTGAATTCCCTGTCCCTGTAGTTGACTTTAATTAGCTGCCTTTTCTCATAATGAATACTTATTCAATTGTAATAGCAAAGCATGCTCCATTGTGATTTTAGGATGGGAGGCTTTGCTGAGTCTTATTCTGCTGGGATGTAACATTAGCACTTTCATAATTCTGAAATGTTCTTGAGTACTAGCAAGACCACAGAGGACAAAGCCGTGGTAAAACTGCTGGCAATGTGCAACTGAGACTCCCTCAGATGGAGGGTGTGGGAATCCACCCAGAATGAATAAGGAGTTAGAATTTACTCAACGTGTTTAATGATCGATCTACCCAAGTTTAAGCCCAGCAGCCTCTCCCCAAACAAAATGATTTGGAAAAAAATAAGAAGAGTAGATTACTCATATCCTAAAAACAAAAACCTGACTACCTTCACATTCGAAGTCCTCAACGCCTAGCCTGGGTCTGATGGCGCATGGTCGATACAAAGCATAGATCCATTATGTCAAATGGACTAACACCCAGAGAGTACCTACAGTCTACAATACACTTTTCACACATTACCTAATACCAGGCTCTCACCTCCTTGCGAACTGGCTACTATAACCTGCTTTTAAGAAACCAAG